TTGGCTTGACCGTATTCTTTCAACCAAAACTCAAGAATTTTCCTGTGTGAATTTTGTATAAAAAGCAACCGTCTGAATTCAGGCGGTTGTTATATTCTTCACAAAACATTTACGATGAGGTCATGTTAGAAAACATGTTAGAAAAGGTGTTAGATCTAACATTCTAACATAAACATTATTTTTGGGTCATTTACACTCATTACGTTTAAGTTTGACAAAGCATATACGATGAGGTCATGACAAAACATTAACGATGAAATCATAACAAAACATTTACGATGAAGAAATCATGACAAAACATTTACGATGAAATCATAACAAAACATTTACGTTTAAGTTTGACAAAGCATATACGATGAGGTCATGACAAAACATTAACGATGAAATCATAACAAAACATTTACGATGAAGAAATCATGACAAAACATTTACGATGAAATCATAACAAAACATTTACGTTTAAGTTTGACAAAGAACATACGATGAGGTCATGACAAAACATTTACGATGAAGAAATCATGACAAAACATTTACGATGAAATCATAACAAAACATTTACGTTTAAGTTTGACAAAGCATATACGATGAGGTCATGACAAAACATTAACGATGAAATCATAACAAAACATTTACGATGAAGAAATCATGACAAAACATTTACGATGAAATCATAACAAAACATTTACGTTTAAGTTTGACAAAGCATATACGATGAGGTCATGACAAAACATTAACGATGAAATCATGACAAATCATTTACGTTCATGTTTGACAAAACATTTACACTCATTACGATGAAGAAATCATGACAAAACATTTACGTTCATGTTTGACAAATCATTTACGAAGAAATCATGAAAATTCATGAGGTGAGAAAAGAGGTGAGAAAAGAGGTGAGATCTCACCTCTTCACCTAAACATTATTTTTGGGTCATTTACGCTCATTACGATGAAGAAATCATGACAAAACATTTACGTAAACATTTATTTCCTGTGTTGTTGTCAAAATGTCATGTTGTCTCATTTTTTCAGAGAAGTTCATTAACCGAGTGACACATGGTGACGTAGTGACACCTTCAGTTCTTCAAAAATAATTCATAACTGCCTTCCCCTGCTGTGTTGTCAAAATGTCATGTTGTCTCATTTTTTCAGAGAAGTTCATTAACCGAGTGACACATGGTGACGTAGTGACACCTTCAGTTCTTCAAAAATAATTCATAACTGCCTTCCCCTGCTGTGTTGTCAAAATGTCATGTTGTCTCATTTTTTCAGAGAAGTTCATTAACGAGTGACACATGGTGACGTAGTGACACCTTCAGTTCTTCAAAAATAATTCATAACTGCCTTCCCCTGCTGTGTTGTCAAACATGAACGTAAACATTATTTTTGGTTCATTTACACTCATTACGATGAAATCTTGACAAAGCATATACGATGAAGTCATGACAAAACATTTACGATAAAATCACGACAAAACATATACGTTTAGTTTCGATGAAATCATCATGACAAAGCATATACGATGAAGTCATGACAAAACATTTACGATAAAATCACGACAAAACATATACGTTTAGTTTCGATGAAATCATCATGACAAAGCATATACGATGAAGTTTTGACAAAACATTTACGATGAAATCATGACAAAACATATACGTTTAGTTTCGATGAAATCATCATGACAAAGCATATACGATGAAGTCATGACAAAACATTTACGATGAAATCATGACAAAACATATACGTTCATGTTTGACAAAAATATACGATGAAGTCTATGAACATAATAATATTTCAAACCAGGAGCCAAATTCTTGCGATTTTCATATGGAATCTCTTCCCTCGGTTTTCCGAGGGAAGCAATCATATGAAATCATTTACACTCATTACGATGAAGTCATGACAAAACATATACGAAGAAGTTTTGACAAAACATAAACGAAGAAATCATGACAAAACATGTACGAAGAAGTTTTGACAAAACATTTACGATGAAATCATGACAAAACATTTACGATGAAGTTTTGACAAAACATTTACGATGAAGAAGTCATGACAAAACATATACGATTAAATCATGACAAAACATATACGATTAAATCATGACAAAGCATATACGATGAAGTCATGACAAAACATTTACGATGAAATCATGACAAAACATGTACGATGAAATCATGACAAAACATATACGATGAAATTATGACAAAAAATTTACGATGAAGAAGTCATGACAAAACATATACGATTAAATCATGACAAAACATATACGATTAAATCATGACAAAACATATACGAAGAAGTCTTGACAAAACATATACGTTCATTACGAAGAAGTCATGACAAAACATGTACGATTAAATCATGACAAAACATATACGATTAAATCATGACAAAACATTTACGATGAAATCATGACAAAACATTTACGTTCATTACGAAGAAGTCATGACAAAACATGTACGATTAAATCATGACAAAACATATACGATTAAATCATGACAAAACATTTACGATGAAGTCATGACAAAACATTTACGATGAAGTTTATTTCCTGGACTGTTGTCTAAATGTCATGTTGTCAGTAATTTTAAGAGAAGTTAATTAACCTGGTAGCACATGGTAACATGGTAACAGTGAAAACATTAACGTAAACATTATTTTTGCTGAATTCAACAACAAAATGAACGAGGTCAGGATGTATGCAAATACCTTTGAATTCATTCATAAATGCCTTAGTAAGCTCATAAAATGCTTGTTTTTGCATCACATTTTGACGAAGTGAAGATCTTCACTTCGTCAAAAATGTTTTGCATTCTCTACTGTATCTTCGAGTTCTTCTTCATCTAATTTCTCATGAACTTTCTTGTCTATGGAGTCCATAATATCTTTGACATAAAATGCATACTTTACTGAGCACCATTCAACAACAAAATGAACGAGGTCAGGATGTATGCAAATACCTTTGAATTCATTCATAAATGCCTTAGTAAACTCATAAAATGTTTGTTTTGAGGTCGAGCCACTTTTGGCTTGACCGTATTCTTTCAACCAAAACTCAAGAATTTTCCTGTGTGAATTTTGTATAAAAAGCAACCGTCTGAATTCAGGCGGTTGTTATATTCTTCACAAAACATTTACGATGAGGTCATGTTAGAAAACATGTTAGAAAAGGTGTTAGATCTAACATTCTAACATAAACATTATTTTTGGGTCATTTACACTCATTACGTTTAAGTTTGACAAAGCATATACGATGAGGTCATGACAAAACATTAACGATGAAATCATAACAAAACATTTACGATGAAATCATAACAAAACATTTACGTTTAAGTTTGACAAAGCATATACGATGAGGTCATGACAAAACATTAACGATGAAATCATAACAAAACATTTACGATGAAGAAATCATGACAAAACATTTACGATGAAATCATAACAAAACATTTACGTTTAAGTTTGACAAAGAACATACGATGAGGTCATGACAAAACATTTACGATGAAGAAATCATGACAAAACATTTACGATGAAATCATAACAAAACATTTACGTTTAAGTTTGACAAAGCATATACGATGAGGTCATGACAAAACATTAACGATGAAATCATAACAAAACATTTACGATGAAGAAATCATGACAAAACATTTACGATGAAATCATAACAAAACATTTACGTTTAAGTTTGACAAAGCATATACGATGAGGTCATGACAAAACATTAACGATGAAATCATGACAAAACATATACGTTTATGTTTGACAAAACATATACGATGAAATCATGACAAAACATTTATGTTATACAGTAATGTTAGTCATGAATGTTTGTCCTACGTGTTGGCGTTAGTGTTGAAAAATAATGTTTGTCCTACATGAAGCCGTACAAGCGTTTGAATTTGTTTATGCATAGGATTACTCTCTTGTTTTCTGTATCTATCATAGAAACATAAGCAGCACCTGTTTTTGTAAAGTTTATATGAAGTACTCGATAGTTAAGACCTGTATAATAATAGAATGCGTCCTCATTCTCAACATAATAGTAGAACTCAAACGAATGCTTACCATAATCTGTTATTTCAACAGCTTCGTCAGATATTTCATCAACGAACTCATAAACTATATCGCCATACTTGCTTTTATTTCTATTGTTTTCAGATCTAGAACACCAACGAAGGTTTGAGATTCTGTTGTCCGTTCTATCATGATTTATATGGTCTATTTCTTTCAAATTGTTTGGATTTTCAATCCACTGTTCTGCAATAATTCTATGCTTTAAATGTGTTTTGTTGTTTAAACTAAGCACAATATAACCATAATTATTTAAGTATTCACTCTTAATATGTTTGTTTTTCTTTCGACGAATAGTAAAAGGATATGTCGTACAAATCTCATAATCTTCATGATTTCTCAATGTTTCCCATTGAGTTTGTTCCCCACTAACGTTCTCATTGACGTCCTCAATATCTTCTTCCTCACTGAACTCGTCAATATTTTCACTAGCTCCTTCTGTAATGTTTTCATCGGCATTGTCATTGACTTCTTCTGTAATGTTAGATGTTGTTGTTTCGCTCATGTTCTTTCACTAATGTTAAAAAGTTATGTTGTACGAATTTTGAACAGAATTTAGAGCAGTTATGAAACAATGAAGTACTTTTACGCTATTGAAAGGAACTATGAGAGTGAAGTACATGACAGCAATGACAAAAGGAACTAATATCAAACCTAATGAAATTGCTCACGAGGACATAGAGTTTAACAAGTACTTTGTGGAGTATCTTATAAGTGAAGAGTATGTAAGACCTTACTTCATGTTTGACAGCATGAATGAGGATGTTATTTCATGGTTAAAGAATATAAGCAATGTTTTCGGTAAGTACGTCATAGATGACAAAGGTCTTGTTGTATTTTATGAGACAGCAATACGAACACAGGAACTAATGGATATTATGCATTCAACAGCAAAGAAAGGATTTAGTACTATTGGCATGAATGAACATTGCAGGAATGACATATACAACCTATGCTCACGAAAGCCTTACACAAAAGCAATACAAATGATAGAACATAAGCGTCTAAGGTCAGCAAATGAAATCATTACTGTCAGTGGTTATGAAAGAACTGTTAGCAAAGATGAGTGGAAACAGCTATTCATATTAAGGAAGGACGTTGCTGAACTAGTTAAACCTGTTGCACAAACATTGTTTCAGATAAGACCAGCAATGACTAAGAACCCTTTGACCTTAGTCAATGAGACCATAGAGGTTGAAGATAATGACATGAAAGAACTAGGAATGAATGAGAGAAGTTGTGAAGGATGTTTGAGTCAAAACACATGGTTCTTCAGAGCTGTTAAGAAACTTAGTAAAGAACGACAGAAATATTTTATAGAGAAGTATTGCAAAGGATGTGTAAATGAATTGCTTGAAATAGAACTTAGAGACACTTTCACACTAAAGGACTTGAGGAAAAATAAGTACATGAGTGAAGAAGGTATTGACATAGCTAGTGTTATAAATGACTTAAGAAGATGTGTTGTTGTTATTGACGGAGCACGTATGACATATCTAGTGAAAGATTATGATGGAATACGAGACACAACAACACTTGTGTCAGTAGATAGCAAGGAATTCAATAAGCTCATGAAGAGTATTTATGTAGGACGTATTGAGGAGAAGGATGTGAACGCACTGATGATTTATGAAGCGGGTCAGAACAAGAACTATCTTATGAAGTCAGGCATGAGATTCTTTGACGAAAGAGATGACATTTACAGCTATTTCAGAGGATATGAGTATGAGGTACTGAATGAAGTAGATGAGAACGTTATTGAAGGATATTTGAAACATGTTCACGATGTCATATGTAATGAGGATGAAGAGCTTTATGAGTATGTTTTGAACTGGTTCGCCTACATCGTTCAAAATCCTTGTGGAAAGACTGGAACAGTACTTTTGTTAATAGGAAAGCAAGGAACTGGTAAGAATGTACTTAGTAATGTTCTATGCGAGCTCATTAGCAAGTACGCCAACAATAATATAACGGCAATAGAGAATGTGGTTGGTAGATTCAATGCTGCTATTGAGAACATGAAGCTCATCGTATGCAATGAACTAAGCTCATGCGATACGTCTAAGGTCATGAACCACGACGCACTAAAGTCAATAGTAACAGAGACTCAGTTGGACTTAAATCAGAAGTGTCAGCCAGTAAGAAAGATAGAGAATGTTTGTAATATCATCATGATATCTAACAACTTCAACTCAGTAAAGATTGACAAAGACGACAGAAGATTTGTTGTCATTGACGTAAGCAGCAGATACAAAGGAAATTACGAATATTTCTCAAATCTCATTGAAAGCTTTAATGAAGAGTTTTATTCAAACTTACTGACGTACTTCATGAAGAAAGATTTAAGTGAATTTGATGTAAGGAAGATACCATTCACCAGGGCTAAACAAGAACTCATCGAAATGAACAAAACACCTTACCAAATGTTTTACGAGGAGTTCTATGAAAAGTTTGTATCCGGATGGAATTGTACAGAGTGCTACAGAAGATATAAAGAATTTGCGAAGGAGAATGAATTCTTTGCATGTAGTTCAAATGTATTTGGTGGCAAGATGAGAGAATTTGTGAAGAGAAGTAGAAAGCGAGACGGTTCTGCAAGAAGTTATATTTACGAAGCAAGTATGATATTAGAAGGTCGTGGAAAGAAAGAAACAGTGAATTATGAGGAAGTGCTTGAAAAATTCATGGAGTACATGGGAAGCAATATAACATACAACAAAGACATATACAGTGAGTTTAAGTACTACTGTGAACAGCATGAGATTGAAGTAATGAGTAAAGGAGATTTTGAAACGCTTATGAAAGACAGTGAGGAGGTCATACATGAGAACAGTGATGAAATAGTTCATGAGAACAGTGAGGAGGTCATACATGAGAACAGTGATGAAATAGTTCATGAGAACAGTGAGGAGGTCATTCATGAGAACAGTGATGAAATAGTTCATGAGAACAGTGAGGAGGTCATACATGAGAACAATGATGAAATAGTTCATGAGAACAGTGAGGAGGTCATACATGAGAACAATGATGAAATAGTTCATGAGAACAGTGAGGAGGTCATACATGAGAACAATGATGAAATAGTTCATGAGAACAGTAAGGAGGTCATACATGAGAACAGTGATGAAATAGTTCATGAGAACAGTGAGGAGGTCATACATGAGAACAATGTTGAAATAGTTCATGAGAACAGTGAGGAGGTCATACATGAGAACAGTGATGAAATAGTTCATGAGAACAGTGAGGAGGTCATACATGAGAACAATGTTGAAATAGTTCATGAGAACAGTGAGGAGGTCATACATGAGAACAGTGATGAAATAGTTCATGAGAACAGTGAGGAGGTCATTCATGAGAACAGTGATGAAATAGTTCATGAGAACAGTGAGGAGGTCATCATGAGAACAGTGATGAAATAGTTCATGAGAACAGTGAGGAGGTCATACATGAGAACAGTGATGAAATAGTTCATGAGAACAGTGAGGAGGTCATACATGAGAACAGTGATGAAATAGTTCATGAGAACAGTGAGGAGGTCATTCATGAGAACAGTGATGAAATAGTTCATGAGAACAGTGAGGAGGTCATACATGAGAACAATGATGAAATAGTTCATGAGAACAGTGAGGAGGTCATACATGAGAACAATGATGAAATAGTTCATGAGAACAGTGAGGAGGTCATACATGAGAACAGTGATGAAATAGTTCATGAGAACAGTGAGGAGGTCATTCATGAGAACAGTGATGAAATAGTTCATGAGAACAGTGAGGAGGTCATACATGAGAACAATGATGAAATAGTTCATGAGAACAGTGAGGAGGTCATACATGAGAACAATGATGAAATAGTTCATGAGAACAGTGAGGAGGTCATACATGAGAACAATGATGAAATAGTTCATGAGAACAGTGAGGAGGTCATACATGAGAACAATGATGAAATAGTTCATGAGAACAGTAAGGAGGTCATACATGAGAACAGTGATGAAATAGTTCATGAGAACAGTGAGGAGGTCATACATGAGAACAGTGATGAAATAGTTCATGAGAACAGTGAGGAGGTCATACATGAGAAAGTGATGAAATAGTTCATGAGAACAGTGAGGAGGTCATACATGAGAACAATGATGAAATAGTTCATGAGAACAGTGAGGAGGTCATACATGAGAACAGTGATGAAATAGTTCATGAGAACAGTGAGGAGGTCATACATGAGAACAGTGATGAAATAGTTCATGAGAACAGTGAGGAGGTCATCATGAGAACAGTGATGAAATAGTTCATGAGAACAGTGAGGAGGTCATTCATGAGAACAGTGATGAAATAGTTCATGAGAACAGTGAGGAGGTCATACATGAGAACAATGATGAAATAGTTCATGAGAACAGTGAGGAGGTCATACATGAGAACAATGATGAAATAGTTCACGATGTCGTTCGTGAAGAAGCCATTGCAACAAAGAATGAGATAAAGGATTTCATAGAACTTAACAAGGAGGAGTTTAAAGAAGGCTATGAAGTGAAAAGATGTGAAGAAGATTTCTTGGCGTATTTGAAGAAAAAGAGACTAAAGCCAATGGCTCAAAATAAGTTTCAATCGATGTTTGAAAAGAAACGTTTGAGCTATGGTGGTGTAAGAAGCACATATTACTTTGTTAAGAAGTGAGGACATTTATTTTTGTCGTTAGTGTTGGAGTTTGTGTTTGTTGTTAGTGAGAGAATAAATTAAATCATGAACTTTGCCATGGTCTCTGTCCCTAGTAGTTTTCATTAAGTTCTGGAAATAATGAAAGTCATAAACTTTGCCATGGTCTCTGTCCCTAGTAGTTTTCATTAAGTTCTGGAAATAATGAAAGTCATAAACTTTGCCATGGTCTCTATCCCTAGTAGTTTTCATTATCTCACAGAATTAATGAAAGTCATACTTTCTATCAGATGAAGCATGCAGATGAACATAATGAAAGTTAGTGAGTTTGCCACGAGTTATGAATAAAATATTGGCATATTAGATGAGATAGTTGATGAAACAGATGAAGATAAATTAAATCTTGGACTTTGCCACACTCTGTCCCTAGTTCCTCAAAATCCTTGACAACGTTGCTTAGAAATTTTGGTTCAAAACCTCATCTGATTTTAATCTGTTATGCTACCTGTTAAGTTTCGCGAGATTATAAATGTCATGGAGTTATATAAAAAGGAGGGACAGCTAGAGACACTGGAAGTACTTGTAAGGCTATCTGTTAAGATTGCATGAAATACTAAAAAGTCATGAAATCCATTATCGCTGTGCTAGCTTCACCTTAGAGTAAAATGACGACTAAAGTCACTGAAGCAATGAAACAAAAGTTTTTGGTAGAATACATTAAATCAGGAACTATTCCAGAAGGTTTTTACATTCATACTATGAAGGATGGTAGAGTTCAGTTTAGAAAGATAAAGCAACCATTAGATAGAGAAGGTATATTAAGGAAGATTAAACTTCATGAGGACAACATTGCTGAACTTAAGAAGAAGTTAGAAGAGTTGGAGAAAGGAAGAGAGTTATAAAGCAATGAATTCAACAGGGTGAAAAAAGAGGTGAAAAAACGTGTTAGATCTAACATTCTAACATAAACATTATTTTTGTGCTATGTTTTCATACGTGTGAGGGTGGTGATATCATTTATTTTTATTTTATTTTTTTATAAATGACAGAACAAAAATATAACATTTCTACTCAGCAGGAATGAGACCCTTACTGACTATGTATTCGTTTAATGCTTGATGAAAACAATGGTACATATTATCGTATGGGTATACACAGCGTCTGTTTCCATCGTCGTCGTATATGTAGAGCTCAAATCCAGTCCAACCTTCTTTTGTACAATATGTAGCTTTATTTAAGTATGCATTTATGTAGATAAGGCAATTTTCTTCATCGCTCCAGAAATAATTTTTGTTCTTTGTTGAAATAGTTTTCGTTCCTCTGCGACCATAAGGAATGTATGCAATGAACTTTGCGTCATAAGGGATTGTAATATATTCAGGGTTTCTTTCATCGTCAATGGGTCTGTCTTTGTTAAAATGCATGTTTCTCAGTTTTACTTGAGTTTTGAATAGTTCACGGAAACGTTCTGGGAAAGAGTCATAGTAAATGTAGTCAGACATGTCTTTGTAATGAAATAAAAAATTTAAAAAAATAAAAATAAGGTTATTTTTTATTTAGTGAGGATGGTAGTGAATTCGTTAGTGAAGTCGTTTATGTGTCAGATGGTTTTGTAAATATTTAAGGTTAAGTTGGTGTTATGGTTGTGTTGTAAAATATACGTTACCGGTTTCGTAAAGTGTCAAACTGTTATCTTGGGTAAGGTGGAACGCAGTGCCACAGTACCCAACATAGTCATACTAACTTGTCTCTCATTAAATATATATAACTGTAAACTGCTTAATTCATTTATCTATTTAGATAAAATTATATTTATATAAGAGTTCATGTTATTATTTCATCTTTATTATTTTTTTTATTCCTTTGAAAAGTGACACTGGATAGTTTGTCCCTTTCTCTTTTGTGCATATAAACATATATAAAAGAAAATAATAATAAATTTGATCAATATTTGTTGAAAAAATTGATTATTAAATTAATTAGTTGATTATTTAATGTGTAATAAACAGAAATTCATCAAAAGTGACAGCTCTCAATTTTTTGACATTTGTAAATTCTAAATTGAATGAGAAAAATGAAATAATACTAAGCATAATACAATATTTTAGATTTAATTATAATTAGGAAAAAGTTAGTTTTGAGAGTACTTTTCATAGGCATATAGAATGAAATCTTCTGAAAAATAATATCACATAAACTCATATTATATTCTAATATATAACTATTTTATATAAAAATCAAATTCAATGATCTTAAAAGCGAAGGATAAACCTCAAAATTTACGAATATAATGAGTGGGAATATAATGCTTATCTATCATAAAACCATATGAAATATCAATTTTTGCTTTACGCCTAATTTTTGACGACAATTAGCAAAAAATGTTAAATGTTAACACTCAGTCCATTTGAATATGAAAAATAAAATTGACTTTGATTAAATGTTTTTATTTATCATGCAATTCTTCTTGCGACCAAAGATTTGATTAAAAGTTCAAAAAATAAGATAGCTTAAAAAATAATATACGGTAGTGTTTACTAATAGATGAATAGTATATAAATTCTATTAAAATGGATTTGATCCAAAAAAATATATAAAATTTGATCATAAATAAAATCGTTTTAAATTACTTCTTCATTTAAGGGTGCACACGAGAGGATCATGTAAACTTCAGAATTTAGAACCTTATTTTTAGGCATTATCTTGGCTACCTATTTAGGCTCGAAAAGCAAAAAATATCAAAAAATACAACTTGACTCCATTATGACCCTTTCATGGAGGTAGTTTTTATCCGCTAGTATTTTCCCTTTGAATCTCTTTACAATTCGAAATCAAATTCAAACCTCAGTAGAAGAAAGGAAGAATCGACTTACTACGGTTGTAATACGAATAAATACATATATTTAATTATTTTTATTTGCATAATAATTGTTTGAAGCTCATATTCCAACAAATTTTTAAATAAAAACATTAAAATGTTGAAAATGTTCATATATTTTAATAGGGTTTTGGCACTTTATTGAGGAATTACTACATACATAATCGAACTGAACTTGATATTTTGAAATTTAAATTATTTATCAAAATTAAAATTTAACTTGAAATTTATAATTATTTAGTCATATTTTGCATAATTCTAAGTAGATTTTGTAAAAAATCAAGAAAGAAAAATTTTAACGTGCTTTATTATTTCTTTTTTATAATAATACATATTATTATATAATTAACATATTCATAATGTTTCACCCTTTCAAAAATATAATTCTCCTCCTCTCAAATAAACGTACATACGGGTGGCCTCTTTTTTCAAAAAATTAAAATTTGAAATTTTGGGCTCAAATATTAGAGATTTTTTCAACCTTCAACGATATATGTTGTCTATATCAGACCTCCTTTCTTTTTGATACTTAACATTGTTCCTAAATCTTAGCCGTTAAGGCTGTTCTGAAAATATTTTTTTTTCGAAA